GGGTTCATGGGGGAGAGGGGAGGGGGGAAAAGGAAAATGAGCTGATTCCGGGAACCCAAGAGGAAAGTGAATTTTGGGAATGATGAGGGCAACAAATGTATAGGTGTGCTTTACACAATTGATCTACGTATTGTGATGAATTGTATGAGCCCCAATAAAATGATTAAATAAAAAAACAAAACAAAACAAAATTATTGAAGACTTTTCTTAAAGTGGGAACTGAGCGATGGATTTATTAACCTCCCCCGTCTGAGGAGGATGAATAACAGAAATGTGGGTGAAGGGATAGAGCAGATGGTATAAGATCTGAAAAAATAATAACATATAATTTACTAAGGGTTCATGAGGGTGGGAGGGTAGGACAGGGAGGGAAAAAAGAGGAGCTGATCTCAAATGGCTCAAGTAGAATGTCAATGTTTTGAAAATGATGATAGCAACATATGTACAAGTTCACTTGCTATAATTAATTTATGGTTTGTTATAATATCTGTAAGAGCCCCCAATAAAATGATTAAAAAAAAAAAGTTTACATTGTCGCCCCTTATAGAATTGAACTCTGAGTCTTTCAGATCCCAAGTATTCATTGCTGGCCCTAAATTACTCGCCTACAATTCAGCTATCTGCACACATCGTATTTCCTCAGAATAGATGGCAAACCCCTTGAAGGATGAGCCCAGGTCAGACAGGAGGCACAGTTGAGTGTGAATCCCCCCTTGTTTCCATCAGAGCTTTTGCATAGTTGTCACTCTTCCAGCATGATCTCAACCTTTTTTCTTTGTTGTTCTTTTCTTTTCCCCCCTTAACGACAGTCAGATGCTGAGTAGTTCTAAATCTGTTTCTCAAGCCCTTGTTACTTGCCTAGTCTTTAAATAGATCTTTATAATCAATTGCCTGGCGAATGCCTCCCATGAACTTCTTCCACAGGTACTTCCAAGGCCACATGCCTCAAACTGAACCCCTATCTCCTTCTGACCCCCATCTCCCCTCCATCCCACATGCTGTCTGCCCTCCCTCTTCACGTCTTCTAGATTGTATTTTGCATTTGGGGTCCACCCAGTCCCTGAAGCAGCAGCTTGGAGGTTGTTCTTCATTCCTTCATTTCTCTGGTTGTCTATTCAGGGAGTCACTGACTCTTGACTCTGGTTTCTTAATAATTTTTTTAATTCATCCCAGCTCTTTAAATCCCAACTCCACTGCCTAAGATTGGACCCTTCCCATTCAACTAAGTTTACTGTAACAGCCCTCTAATGGATGTACTGCATCTTATTCGTAATGCTTTCACAAACCTCCTCCGCAGTAGAGGCGTGACACATCCTCTCCTGTTAAACCCTTTGGTGGCTTCCTTTTACATGTATCAGGAATAGGGGAAAAGTTTAGATTAGCTCTCGTCAACTTGGTCATTGCTGCTTCGAGTTTAGCATTGTCATTTAGTGATGCCTCACGTAGGTGAAGAGAAGGGGTGGGCAACAAATAACTTCTCAATGCTAACACCCTAGTAGATTGAATGCTTAGCATCTGTACAGACACCGTATTCCTTAGCATGTCAGTCCTTCCATGATCCTGATCCTTCCCGAATCTTCATCCTTGCTTCTGCCATTTGCTTCACTTCCCATCTGACCCTGGGAGCATCAAGAAAATATTCCGTCTTTTTGCTATGGTTCTTCTAGGTTCGCTTCTCCTTGCCCTTTGTCTGGGAAACTCACACGTAGTCTTCAAACTGTGAGTGTGTGGGGAGTGCATGGGGTGAGATCTGTCTGTGGATAAGGGCTCTTCCTCTAGGACTCAGCGGCTTCCTCTGCCTCCTTCACAGTCGTACATGCCCCATAGGCTGGAAGTACTAAATCTGTCTCTGAATATAAAACCAGTAGGTCAGATATCATGTCTCATTTGAGTTTGGCCTCTGATATTTATCAGACTTTTCTGTGAGAAGAGAGATGTTCAAAATGTTAGTGGAAAAAATGGAATTAAAAGTTAATATGTAAGCTTTATTTCTCAATGTAAAGCTTCATTAAGTTCAAGACATATTTGTAAGTGATGGCAACAGCCATTTAATTCATTGCTAAAGAACGGAAGGTCGCCCTGGGGGACAGACAACCGAAAAGTGGGTGAAGGGAGACGTCGGACAGGGCAAGATATGACAAAATACCCATTTATAAACTATCAAGGGCTCATGAGGGAGGGGGGAGCGGGGAGAGAGGGAAAAAATGAGGACCTAATGTCGGGGGTTTAAGTGGAGAGAAAATGTTTTGAGAATGATGTACAAATGCGCTTTACACAATTGATGTGTGTATGGATTGCGATAACAGTTGTATGAGCCCCTAATAAAATATTTTAAAAAAAAAGAAATTAAAATCATTTAAAAAAAAAAAAAAAAAAAAAAAAAAAAAAAACCCTGAACAAAAAAAAACCAACGGGGGGTTAAATCCGGCCCAAAAAAAAAAAAAAAAAAAGAGTGAAGAAAATGTTCTTTGAACTATGGAATGATATGATATATGTATTAACTTCCAACAATAAAAAAGAATGTTCTAAACCTGGAAAAAAAAACAACAACAAAAAACGGAAGGTCCTGGGAATTTACCGACATCATTGTGGTCCTTTTTACACTGTTGACTGAAGTGAAAATGGGTGCCCTTTAAGGATTGTTTTTTTAAGATGGGGCGCGGTGGGGGATTACCAGGAGCCAAAGCAGGACTGTAAAGTGGATACCTAATGATTTCCCATCGAAACTCTTGCAAAATTGCCCTTCGTTAAGAGCAAGGAACAAGTAGGAGAATTGTGGAGGTTGAGAGAGACTCAGGGGGAGCTTCCTTGGCATTTTTGGAAGAAGTTTTGACTAACCTTCTCAAAGTATTATTCTCCTAATAACCAGGGATTATCATGATATGGTTCTCTAGAAAGTGAACAAGCAAAAATGCTTTTAGCCCCCCAAAAAACCTGGCTTGCCATGAACTTTTAACCCGTAGGTTTTAACTTTGCGTCACTTCCACCACCTCGTGTTCATGGTTTTCATTAGTCTTTTTAAAAAGATAGTACTGGCACAGCGGTATGACATGTCTTGTTACATGTCTTTGAAGACCTGCTTCAGGATTTTGATCCCTTCTGTTTAAATTTCTACTAAGAGGCCTGCTTCTGCCTACAGCTGCTCTGGGTGAGCAGTTTGGCACCCATTGAGCAGAAACTTTGCTCAGTTTTAATTTTTCTGCCAGAAGAGTGAAAGTTGAACCGACTGAGTGTGCGTGGTGGTGCCCGGTGTTTCCACTGTTGATTTGGGGTCTTCCTCAATTAGGGTACGAACCAGATGGATGTGGCCTCATCTTCAACCAATCTAGCCCCTTCTTACAATAAGCTATCCATTTGTAAACGGCTGGATTTCATTGTAAACTTTGTGAAGCATCAGTCACGTCACCATTCCTTCATCATAAGTTTGATGTTTTTACTTACTTCAGTTTTGGCGGCCTTCCTATTGCTCTGCTGGGGACTCCTTCTTAAACCAATGCTTGTCCTCCTTAGTGCCTCATACCAGATCCTGTTAGACATGCTGCAACAGGCTAGTTTGTTTATTATGCTGCAAACATTGTTTCGAAATCCATGGAGAGTTTTTTCATAAAATGCATTCTCCATGAACTGTTTGAGGATTGAGATAGTTAAGGTTTATTTTGCCAGCCTGTCAGATAAACACATGTGGGGTTAGTGGAAGGGTGGAGAGAGAAATGGCTTGGTGAGCCTCGCCTTTCTGGTTTCCAGTCTCTTTCTCTCTGATGGTCGGACCAGGGTGCAGCTGCCTTAGCCAGTTCCCTGCTTCAGCTGGCAAGGCTCACTTCCTGCAAGACATCCTTGAGGAGAGGCCACATGGACCTACCCTGATGCAGCCCTGGGTGCTGGAGCAGCTGTGTGGAGACCCCTGCCAGCGCTGAGATGCTTACACATTCACTGACTTGGCTTTCCTCCTGCAGTCGGCATCATTGCGTGTGTTTTGTGAGATGGAGAAGGACTTTGTGGATTGATCTTGGAGATATGGGCTTGGACAGCACTGGGTTGGGGTGCTTTCTTAATGTACACTTACCCTTTATATAAAACTCTCTCTAATATACATATGAGTTTCTATGGATTTGTTTCGCTAGTCTACCCAGACTAACACAAGGATCCCTCATATAGATGATTAGTGGAGTTATTTATTGAAACAAATTAACCACTTTGATTGAATGTACTTTGCTGTAACGGTGATCACTCCTTGGGCTAACAAGGTAGATATGAGGGTTACTATGCTGCAGGCAATCCAGGTCACTGACTCCGTCGGGAAGTAGCGAATGACATGATGAAAATGGCTTCTAGGGAGGACTGATCTCTCAGCAGTTTGTTAGTCTAGGTTTACGGAGCTCCTGGGATGATTAACTGAGGGCCGTGGGGGTGGGGAGAGGAAAAGCAAGTGTATTAAGCCATTTTGGAGAATTGTTTCCTGAGTTTTGTGCTTTCCTTTCCACATTTCTGAAGTGGGATGCACTAGCAAGTCTGCTTCTGAATATAGGATACTGGAGTTTTTATGTCTTTCTTTATTTTGAGTTTTTATTTTCAAAGAAAGAACATTTCCTGTAACAACACTTTTTATGGTAGATAATTATGTGGAAAACATACTCATTATTAATTGCTTGAAAAGAATGATTGTGAGTTTAAATTTTAAAAGATAACTGTCCTTTGACTATCTAGCCTAACATTTTCCAAAGGGAGTGGCACACATGGAATTAATGGTTATTTGTGAGGAAAATACTTCAATGTCTTTTTGCTCTGCCTTCTAGTCTATAGCTTAACAGGAGCATTCTAATTATAGTTTGTTTGTTTTTTTCTCCCTGGGCATTTGTATTTCATATGGGACTCACGTGTCTGTGTTTCCTGGTTAAAGTTTATCTTCCATTTGTTTTGGTCCACGTAGCTCCACTCTGGTTTAATCTTTGTATTGGCCTGTGAAGACATCCTCATTTACTGTGGTTCTGCTTCTGTTCCAGAGGTATGACGCCTTGACTTAGAAGAAGGTCTTCCCAAACACGTACTTCTGTCTTGTGTATTATGGATACCAAGGACGAGAAGAAGGAACGGAAACAAAGCTATTTTGCTCGGTAAGCACTCCCTTTGCAAAATTATACTAGCGCTTTGAAAAAAGGAAGGGACTTTGTTCTCAAGTCGAACTTGACTTTTGTGTTTAGTGACTGTTCATAAACAGAGCAGATCACCGGCAGGATTTAAGTACCTCTTGTGTTGTGTGGTTTCCCCACTTCTTTAGAGGAATAACAAATGGTTCTTCTCTTTGACAGGCCTGTGCTGCTGAGAGACCCTAGCTGTCAGTCTGCCCTGAGCCACAAAATGAATCCCACCTTTAGTAACAGGCTTTGCATTTTAAATCCTCAGTACTCAATACCCACTGCTCTGTGGCTTAAGTGATTGAGCGACAATTACAACTCTGTGACATGTTATCTAAAGCTTATTACCTTGAGAAAAGCCTATTATTAAAAACTATTTTTGTAGGTGGATGGAATGGGGGAACTTGTATCATTGAAGTCCTCGTCATTGTGTGTGTGTGTGTATGCCAATATATATACATTTGCTGGTACCAGAGTAAAAGTAATCCGTGTGATCAGTGACTACATATAGCCCTCACTAAATCCTAGTGAAATAAATGATATGCCCCACACGCTCCAGACTCATGGCCATCTGGTCAGTCCCAAATGCAGTATGACCCTGTAGGACACCGGTTCTCAGCCTGTGGGTTGTGACCCCTTTGGGGGTTGAATGATCCTTTCACCGGGTTCCTCCGATTCATAACAGTAACAACATGATAGTGATGAAGTAGCAATGAAAATAGTCTCATGGTAGGGAGGTCACCACAACACGAGGAACTGTATGAAAGGGTGGCGGCAGGAAGGTTGAGAAGCACTGCTGTGGGACACGGTAGAATTGCCCCTGTGGGTTTCCCAGACTGTGACTCTTTAAGGGAGTAGAAAGTCCACCTTTCTCCGGAGGAGCCACTGCTGGTTTGGACCTGCACCCATGTGTAACCACCATTAGACCCCCAGGGCTCATTGACACATCATTTTGATAGTCGGAATATTTTCAAATCCAGAGTAAGAACAGAGGCTTAGAGTGATCATGATTCTCTCTTCAGTTGAAATAATTAAGAACTGAATTCAGTCTGGCCCCTCCCCACCTCCCAGTACAGGCCCTTCAAAGGCACATTTCCTCTTTTCCAGCTATAGGCCTTGGAAGACTAAAATCAAATCGGAGGGGTTAGTGTTACCCAGAAATCAAGGTGGGCTTTTTATTATTAGTAGGAAGATAAAGGAAGCAGCCTTCAGGGAACTACTACGTGCAAATTGCTGTCTTTCTTCTTTTATATATACTCATGGTAAACCTGTGACACAGATGTCTGCATCTCCCATTAGCAAAAGAGTAACTGGCTTCAGAGATGGCAGTAGTTTATGCAATACCTTCTGAGCAACAGTCACTTCAAATACAGTGTTGTCTCACAGGGTAATGCTTCAGTTCAAAAGCAGTAACCCATGAATAGAGTTGTAGAAAATCAAGCATTAAACTGCTAATTATAGTGGAATAGCTCCCAATTTTTGGACTAGAAAGAGTAGCAAGATCTTTGGGGGCCAAGGCAGACATCAGGCATTTAATGAGTGAAACATTAGAAAGTTCCAAACAGAATAGGAAGAACTATATGTTGTTGTTGTCGTTAGGTGCGATCTAGCTGATTTCTACTCATAGCAACGCTATGGAAACATCACCGGTGCTGCATCATCCTCACAATGGTTCTTCTGTTTGAGCCCATTGTTGCAGCCACTGTGTCGGCCTAGCTCATTGAGAGGCTTCCTCTCTTTGACTGACACTTTGCTTTACCAAACATGATTTCCTGTACCAGGAACTGGTTTCTCCTGATAACATGTCCTTCTAAAGAAGTACATAGTCATTAAAAAAGATCTATCTTGAGATAATTATAGATGCATGTATAGTTGTAGGAAATAATATAGAGTGATATTGTATACCCTTAATCTAGTCCCCCCCCCTTGGTAATATTTTGAATTATAATGCAGTATCATAACTCATGAATTGATGTTGGTAAAGTCTACCAACCTTATTCAGGAGGTTGTTAGAGAACAGAGGAATATTGCATGGTTTAAAATCAGGAAGGTGTGTGTCAGGGTTATATCTTTTCACCATACTTATTCATTCTGTATGCTGAGCAAATAATCAGGGAAGCTGGATTATATGAAGAAGAAGCGGTATCAGGATTAGAGGAGGGCGTATTAACAACCTTCGATAGGCAGATGACAGAACCTTGCTTGCGAAAGAGAGGAGAACTTGAACTACTTGCTGATGAAAATCAGGGATTCCAGCCGTTACAACTCAGTGTAAAGAAACAAATATCCTCACAAGTGGACCCATATGAAACATCATGATGGAGAAAAGATTGAAGTTGTCAAGATTTCCATCTGACTTGGATCCACAATGAAGGCTCATGGAAGAAGCAGTCAAGAGATCAAACGAAACATTGTCTTGGATAAATCTGCTGCACCAGACCTCTTGACAGCGTTGAAAAGCTAGGATGTTACTTTGGGGAATAAGATGCACTTGACCCAATCCATGGTGTTTCACATGCCCTCATATGAAAGTTGACCTTTGAATAAGGCATGTGAGAGTTGGTCATTGTATAATGAAGATTGAAAAACAATCCATGCGTTTGAACTATGATGTTGGTGACGAATATTGAAAGTACCATGGATTGCCAAAAGAACAAACAAATCTGTCTTGGAAAAAAAGTACCGTCAGAATGCTGCTTACAGACAAGGATGGCGACACTTCATCTCACGTAGTTTGTGCACAGGATCACTATGAGTTGAGACCGGCTCTATGGCATCTGACAACAACAGCAACCAGCCCTTTCATCGCGATACTCCTTTCCTTCCCTCCAATTGGCAGCTACTAATCTGTTCTTCATCTTTATAATTTCCTCATTTCAAGAGTGCTATCTTCTTATGGTTATAGGCCATTGGATTGATGCTGACTCACTGTGATACTATGGATGTTCTAATGGTCTCAGTACAGCAGGTAATCTTTTAAGATGTGCCCCCCGTTTTGCATTATTTTCTAGAGGTGTGTCCATTTATTTTATAAATCAAATGCTGAAGATTATGAGTCCACTGCATGGATGTATCATAGGGCTTTTCGGTTGTTTTGTTTAGTTTTTGTTAACCATTCACTCATCGAAGGACGTTTGGGTTGTTTCTAGTTTCTGGCTATTACCGATAGCTCATAGAATCAGTGGTGTGAGCATGTGTTTTCATTGCTCTGTGATAATTGCTGAGAAATGCAATAGCTCGATCATATATATGGTAAATATGTTAGGTTTTATAAGAAATTGCCAGAGTAGTCATATTTTAAATTCTAACTAGCAGTGTATGAATTGTCATTTCTGTACATCCTTGCCAGCATTTGGTGTTACTACTATTTTTATTTTATCCATTTTAGTAGGTATGTAGTGATAGCTCATTTAGTCTTAATTTCCTTAATAACTGCTGAAATTGAACATATTTTTGGGGGGGCTTTTTTGCCTATGCCCTTAGTGAAATGTCTGTTCATGTCTTTTACCCATTTCCTAATTGAGTTGTGTGTTTGTTCTTCTCTTTTTTTAACTGATAGTTTGGGGCGTTCCTTTTATCTGAGGGGGACTTCAAGAAGTTCAATGAAAAATTCCATTTTTTCCCATTATTTTTTAACACATTATTTTCCCCGCAATCTCTCGAAGCCCCTGCATATATCAGACCCTAGTTTTTTGTTGCATATGAAGTTTGGAGCTTATTTCTCTCACTCAGTGACTTGTCATCTTAACCTCCTAACATGGTCTTTTGCCAAGCAAACGTTTTAAATGTTAATGCAATCCACTGTATTAAATTTACTTTTTATGTGACAGCTCTTAGCCTAGCCATAGAACTAAAAGATTCTCATCGATGTTTTTTCCTAACCTTTTATAGCATTACATATTATATTTAAATCTCTCGTTCATTTTGAGTTGATTTTTTTCATGAAGTGTGACTTTGAAAATTTATTTTGGCTGATGGATGTTCTATGCAGTGCTGGAAAACCTCCTGGTGCCTCCTTAGTTTGACCCTAAATGACTCCAATCACAAGGGTCAGGGTGGTTCATGAATAACCTGCTCAGAGTTAATTTCTTGTTCCTGCAAAGATAGATTAAAGACAACCCTTTAAACTGATATTATTTGGGCTTGCTCAATTCAGAATAAAGTATAGCTCCTAGACCTGTAGTTCTTCTCATGCATGGTCCAAACAGAATAAGCATAGATCCAAACCAAAACTGTTCTGAAGGAACAGCATAGTTTGTTCCAATCAGAACTGTGAAATTAAGTTGCCATGTTTTCTGTGACCCCTTCTGAAAAGTATTCTAACAATGGAAACATATTAAAAAACACTAATTAATTGTGACCATGGGAGCATAGGGACAGCAGAGTGGGGACAAAAACCAGTTGTGCTGTTGAAACAGCGAGTCACAGTGACCAATTACTGAGACGGAATTGACAGAGAGACAGGAGACAAACTCTGACTTCAGCCAGACATGGCAGCCAGAAAACGATCACACTATTAAAAGCAAAAAACCAAATGCAACCAAAAGCAAAACAATAAAAACAGCCCATAATCAGGAAAGAACCAGCTGAAGTTATCAGTTTTTTCAAATGCCTTCTGATGAAGCTTTTGGCCTTAAGACAGAATTTACTGGGAAGCTAGTTTTGAAAACATAGGGCACACTCCTCTGGACCAAGGTGCCTAAGGGTAGTCCAAGCAAAATCTCTAGAGAGGAATGTAAAGTCAGGCCAAGGGGATGGCCACACTGTCGAAACCACACTCTCTCATAAACTGGATTGCACCATCTTCCAGAGATTTCTAGTGTTCAGAGAAGACCAAAAGGAAGATGGATCCCGATGGTCTGCCTGCACCACACTCTGCATCAAAAATCCTAAATATTGCTTTCACACTCTCCACCCTCACCCTGATCGCTTTCACCCCCAAGTAGGGAAATAGCCACTGCTTACTCTGTGCGCTTTAC